CTTTTTGGACAACAGCAGCTCAGCCCCTGGCTCCCAGCCCTGGGCAGGGCTGTGATCCCTTGGGGGAGCTCCCAGCAGAGTGCAGGAAGGTGGATTGGCCTCCAAGGATCAGGGAAATGGACACGGGGTTGATTTTTTACCAGCAAATTGCCAACCCCCAGGCTCTGTGCAGGAAGCAGAGTGTTTAACTCCAGAGAAAGGGACTGAGGGTGGTCCCTGATGCTTCCTGGTCAGGATTTTGGGACGGCAGGAAGGGAGGAAGGGCAGCAGCAGCCTTGGCAGCACAGGATGTGCCATCTGCTGCAGGCCCTGAGGGTGCATCTCATGGCCAGGGTGGGCTGTGAGGGGTGGGGGTGCTGGGCTCTGTGTGCCCCTGCACTGTCTCCCCCTCCCCAGATCAACCTGCTCATTTTCATGCGGATCCTCAAGGTGATCCTGGCCAAGCTCCGAGCCAACCAGAAGGGCTACGCTGACTACAAGCTGCGGTGAGCTGGGAAGGAGGGAGGGGGTGGCCACTCTGGCTCATCCCTGGGCCCGGGATAACACCACATCCCCCTCCCCCTCCCCATCCATCCCCACCCTGCTCCTCCACCCTTCACGTCCTTAAATGACCACCCTGACTTTATCTAGAAGATTTAGGATCCCTTTACACTTTTCCAGGCTGGCCAAAGCCACCCTCACCCTCATCCCTCTCTTCGGTATCCACGAGGTTGTCTTCATCTTCGCCACCGACGAGCAAACCACGGGCATCCTGCGCTACATCAAGGTGTTCTTCACCCTCTTCCTCAACTCCTTCCAGGTGAGGCATGAGTGTGACACGTCCTTGCTCTGAGCACATAATGGAGCAAGAACTGGGGGGGCCTCTTCCAGCTTGCTCTCCCCGTGGTGCCTCCATGGGGTGGGGGACCCCATCTCTCTCACCCCCTGCCCCGGTGCCTCCTGTGCTCTCTGGGGCAGCGGTGGCAGCGGGACCTCAGCCCTAAAAGCACCCAGAAATGGTCTGGAGGGAGTCTAAGCTCACCCCAGCCCCAGGAGAGGGATGGCAGTGGGGTCTCACTCCCTGCTCTCCCTGCAGGGTTTCCTGGTGGCCGTGCTGTACTGCTTTGCCAACAAAGAGGTACGTACCTGTACCTGCCACAGCGTCTCCTGCCTGCCTTTCCCATCCCATCCTCTGCCTGTGGGGAGGGCGTGGCCAGGGACGAGCCCCCCTTCTCCCCTCCGTGCCAGGTGAAGTCTGAGATGAAGAAGAAGTGGCAGCTCTGGAAACTCGACTACCCAGTGCTCTGCTGTGCCCAGTGATGCAGTGACTGCCCGCAGAGCCAGGGCACAGGGGCTGCTGTTCACAGCGGGCACGAGGGCCCAGCTGGAGGGTGGGGGGCTGTGGGGAGCTGTGCTGGGCAGTGCCCACCTGGGATGTCCAGGCTGGGACCAGCCTTTGGCTGTGCCACACTGGAGCTGCTGGAAGGGACATCCCCCCACTGTGGTCCAAGGGGGAGATGAGCACCCCAGACATTGTCAGGCATCGTTGCCTCCTTGGGGGCCTCACCTTGCCTGGGCTTGGGGGCTGCGTGGGCAGCAGGAACTGCTTCCTACTACCACCTGTGCACCATCAGCAACCCCTGCCAGCACCCACCAGCCCTGTGCAGGGGAACCCCCTGCCCACCCACACTGCCCAGGCACATGTGGGAGGGGATCACGGCAGCTGGAGGGAGCCTGACCCTCAGCAGTGGGAATGGGAGACTTTGTTCAGCCTGGCACTGCTGCATGGACCTGCTGCCCCTCTGCCCAAACCCTCCTGTGGCACCAACACATCAGGACAGGCATCCCTGTCCTCCCCTCCTTGTCCTACCCAAGGACCATCTCACCAATCCCCTGACAGCTCCCAGACATCCACAGTCATCTTGTGAAGCTCTTCACAGTGAGGTGCTGCTTCTGCACCTTCTCTCCATCCTCATCATGGACACAGAACGTGGCTCCAGCACCCACCTCCTCCTCGCTGCTCTTCAGCTGCACACACTGCTTGGTTCCTCCTCTCCAAGCCCCTTCTGCAGCAGGTCCCCCCCTGCTGTGGACAGAGCCAAGGATGGAGCCTCAAAGTCACAAGGGAGTGAAGGATTTGAGAGTAGCAGCTTGTGGGAGCTGGAGCCAAGCCCAACCTTCTGCATCCCAGGTCCAGCATCCAGCCCAACCACCCCCTCCTCTGCTGGGGGAGAGCTGGAGGAGCCACGCTCTGTTTTGGTGGCAAAAGGCTGACTCAGGGAGTTCACTTTCCTGTGAGGTGCCAAAGCATCAGCCCACCCTCTCCAAGCAGCCTGTGAAGCCCAGGAAGCTCAGGAGCACTGACACCTCTGCCTTGGCAAGGGAGGCATCTCAGGCAGAGTGATTTGAGTGGGGCTGCAGGTGTCTGGCTTCCAGCTGTCCTGGTCCTGTGTTCTCCTGGAAGAGCCAGGAGCAGCCACACTCACCACCATCACCTTGGGTCCTTGCTGTTACCCTCAGGAGCAGGACAGACATGCTCCCGAGTGAGTACTTGTTCCTAACCAGGTTCCTTCCTTTCTCTTGCAAAAAAGGCCCCTCCAGGCTGGAGGAAGCAGCTGGGACTCTCCAGCACATGCACATGGACACAGAAGGTTCTCCAGCTCCTGCCCCTTCCCTGACAGGCTGGGGGAGCCTCTTGCAGTGTCTCACAGAGAGGCTGACTCAAGCACACCAACAAAAGAGGTTGTGCCATGCTGGAGTCACACAGGAGTTGTCCTGGATTGATGTAGCCCCCATGAGACCATTTTACACATTAACTCTCTTTTCAGATGTAAATAAATGTTTATTTTTCAGCAAGCAGAGCCTGCTGCTTCTGTCTGCTCTGAGGGAGGGAGGGACACAGCTCTTGGGCACCCAGAGCTGAATCCCAGAATGGTTTGGGTTGGAAGGGACCTTAAAGACCATCCAGTCCCACCCACTGCCATGGGCAGGGACACCTTCCACTAGCCCAGGTTGCTCCAAGCCCCGTCCAACCTGACCTTGGACACTTCCAGGGATCCAGGGGCAGCCACAGCTTCTCTGGGCAACCTGTGCCAGGGCCTCACCACCCTCACAGCCAAGAATCTCTTCCCAATATCCCATCTAACTCTGCCCTCTGGCAGAGGGAAGCCATTCCCCCTTGTCCTGTCTCTCCAGACCCTTGTCCCAAGTCCCTCTCCAGCTCTCCTGGAGCCCCTTTAGGCCCTGGAAGGGGCTCTCAGGTCTCCCTGGAGCCTTCTCTTCTCCAGGTGAACCCCCCCCAGCTCTCCCAGCCTGGCTCCAGAGCAGAGGAGCTCCAAGTCTCAGAGCATTTCCATGGTCTCTTCTGGACTCATTCCAGCAGCTCCACAGGTCATTCCAGCTGCTCTTTGGTGGGTGCTTTGGGGTCCCAAGGGATTCCCACATCCCCCACCCAGGTAGTGCTGCAAGGATGGCACCTCTGAGAGGAGCCAGGGCAGGGCTGGGAAGCCAGGGATGAGGCATTCCCAGTCCCTTGAGCCTGCAGCCACCTGGGAAAGGAAGCTGGAAAGCACTGTATGTGTTACCCACTGCCCCAAATAAATCAGGAAACTAATTCATGACTCCACAGTCCAGCCCCCTCTAGAGAAACCCACACACCACAAATAGGTTCTCAGTTTTTATTCTTTTATCCCAAGTTAGCAATTACTATTTTCCTCAGACAGCTTGCCTTAGGGTAGCACCAGGCTCCCTGCTGCCTGCACAGCCCCCCTGGCAGAAAGGAATGCTGGTTAACATCCTCTTTAAGGAATTGCCTCCTCAGGGAAACACTGTTCTAGAAAATTCCCACCCCAGTGTCCCCTTTTCTGCTTTCACACCCCTTGAAGCCTTTACCCCTGGGCTCCTGCAGCACCTTTTCTGGGGCCTCTCCTTTTCCTTCACTCACACACTGCCCCATCTTTCCCCTTTTCCCAGGCTCCCAAGCCTGGATGTACCATCTTAACCCCTCCAAACCCATGTTTTCCACTCTTAAGACTGAGCAAAGCCTGACCTAAATCTGTGTAGTCTCCTTCCAGCCGTGTCCTGCAAAGCCCGCCCAGTTCTAAGGCACTGCTGAGCCAGAGCTTCCCTTGCTCTCCAGGTGCTCCCAGGCCCCTTCCCTGAGTTTTTTGAGGTGGTTTTGCCTTAAATTCAAAGGACACAGTATTGATAAATCTGCATAATGCAGCTAGAGGCACTGCCAAGGCTAAGGAGGCCCCATTCCTCCACTGACAGGGAATGAGAGACAAAGCACAGAATACTCTTGCCAGCACAACCTCCAGAAATTCTGAGGAATTTCCAGGGATGCTGCCTTAGGAGAATTAGCTCCACCTCATCAAAATTACTCAGGATGAAGCTCCTGCAGCCTTGTCCTGCAGCTGGCACTGGGTGCCATGTGCACTATGGCATTTGCTAAAAATGACAAAATAGTGTGTTGTGATGAATTTAACAGTTAAATGTGAGCAGAAAGCAGCACCCCCAGCACACAGGAGCTGCCAGTGGGGCAGGGGCACAGCAGAGAGGGCCACACCTGCCTGGTTTGGGACAGTGGGTGCCCTGAGGCTGTCCCAGGAGGCAGAGACCCCCCAGTCAGAGCAGATGTCCTTGTTACACAGGCAGACCAGCTCTCAATCCTGCCTGAGGGGACTCCTCAGGCAGCTCATCAGAAGGGGTGACCAGCTCAAAGGATGGAGCCAGAATGGATTTTTGTATTTTGGCATTATTTTTGGACCAAGGTCCAAAAATCAGAGGAACAGTTTCATCCTCTTCCCCAAGAGACTTTTCTCAACTCATCAAGGCCATCACTCACAGACCTCGGGTTTTCATTGTTGTTTCCCCCCCCTCAAAAGACTCGGTAATAAATGGGAACAGAGTTGCTGGAAACCATTTTACACCAAAGTCCCTGTCACCAGAGCCCCTGTGGTCACTCTCAGCTCCCACAGGAGGGACCTCTTCCTGCACTGCCTGTCCTTTGAAAATGCCAGAACTATTTCAATGAAGGGCAGGCAGTGGTGAGGACCAAAGCTTTGCACCACAGCTCCATCTGGGATGTGGTTTCTTGTGCCCATCTCCCATGGGGGACAGAGCCATCCCTCAGTTCCTGCTCTGCTGCCCTGGCATTCTGCTGTTTGCCACAGGCATGGGAAGCTCAACAGTCCAAACTCTTCCTTCTCTCTCATGCACTTCCAGGGGAACATCTGCCTTGCAGCCACTGCCAGTGCTGGGATCTTGGCATGGACAAACCTCTGCTGCAAAGTGGCTACAAAGCATTTACCACAAAAACAGGCTTTTGGGGATGGAATAACCAGGACAGGGTTAATTTTTAGAGTAGCCAGGAGGGGCATGACCAGGACCAGGAAGTTATTCTCTACTACCTCCTGCCACACAGAGGGGCTGGGGGAAAGGGGTGCCTTTTAGTCAGGGGGGTAAGAATTGTTCACCTCTCTTGTACCATCTGTTGTTAATATTGTTGCTGTTACTATTTGTTTTCTTATCTCATTGCTGTTCCCAGTAAATTGTTCTTATCTCAACTCTTGATCTGTACCCTTTGTGCCTCCAGTTCTCTTCTCCATCCCACCACAGGGGGAGGGAATGACCATGGTTGGGAGTGTTTCAGGGGGAGCAGTAAATTGGGGAATTCCATTCCTAAACTACAACATGTGATCCCAAACAACCCCCGAGGAGGGCAAGAATCTGAAGAGAACCAGGGTGGGCTGGCTGAAGGAAGAGGTTTTGAAGCCCAGATCTGGGATGGCAATAGAGCAGACATTCCAACTAGGAACAGAGCTTCACTGCAGCTCAAAGAGCCAAACTTTACAAACTTCACCCCTCCACAACAACCTGTCTTCCTTATGGCCTCAGATACATCCTCTGTGCCAATCTACGTGGCACGGGAGGAGCCAAGGACACGTTTCAGAGATGGTGAGGAGGTTGGGATGCATAAAAGGATAATTAATTGATTGCTGTGTGTAACTGCCAACTTTCTAACACCACACAGACCTGAACAACAAGGGCTGCAGGAATCTTAAGGCAGGTAAAATCTCTGAGCTCAGAGCTTCTCCTCCTAACCCAAACCTTCCAGCATGAACAAGGATCCTGGGAACCCAGGCAGCACTCAGGCCCAGGATGCTGCTGGCTGTCGTCTTCTGCTGCCCCTTGTCCTCCCACGTGTGTTCTCTGGTGGCCCAGCCCTCCTGCCAGGCCCCCTGGCCGTGGTGGTGCCCGGCAGAGCCGCGGTGCTGGCACAGCTCCCGTGCTCCTGGCACAGCTCCCGCGCTCCTTCAGCTTCCGGGTGGAACAGTCACCCGACGTCGGTGTTCCTGCGGCCCCCGGGAAAGAGAGGACAGTCACCCCTTGGTGGGACAGAGACGAGGGGACTGAGGGCTTTCCAAAGGGAAAACCAACCAGAGGGCACGTAAGGACTAGTTAGAGCCCAGCCCTGGTGTGTGTGCCCTGGTTGGGACTGGCAGCGAGGGGTGATGTCCCTCAGTGCCACAGCCTGTCCCTGTGGATGGATGGCAGTAACTCCCACTCACCCTCCTGCTTTGTTATGGCTCCAGCCAGCTCGGCTCGCTCTGCCCCGGGGCTTGGAGCCTTTGGAGGTTTTGAGTCACAGTCTGCAGAGCTTTTCCTGAGGACAAACCAAAGGGAAAAATCACCGTTAGGAACAGGGCAGGGAACAGGGAAAACCAGGCTGCACTCAGCCACTGCTGTGCTGTCTTCCTGCTGCCTGCTCCCCTGCAGCTTCCAGCATCTCAAAAACAGAGTGTCTCTCTGTCTGTGGCTGGGACAAGTTCCTGTCATCAGGAGAACAGGACACAGGCTTTGGGAACCACTTCCCAAGCAGCTCTGACCACTGAGCAGGAGATGCAGGAGCCATCTCTCAGCCTGGGCCTCTCAGCAGAGGATGAGGCAGAGCCCCAGATCCGCAGTGAGAAGATGCATGAGAAAATGCCTGCACCAACCTCAGAGCCTGGAGCCTTCCCTGAATGAGGAGGGATTGTTGGGTCCCTCTCAATTACCATTCCAAGCCATCAGAAACCCAGCCAGCCAGGCCTTCCCTTGGCACAACAGCCCCTTCACCTGCCCAGAGTCCTTCCCTCCTTACCCATCTCTTCCACACATTCCTCCAGCACAGCTGACAGCTCAGGCAAGCTCAGGGACTTCAGGGAAGGTGGCCACCCTTCCAGCACTGCAAGGACAGAAGCCACACAGTTATTCCATCTGCATGCTCTCTGTGACAGAGCAGAGACAAAGGGCTGGTGTTGTTGGGAAGCATCCACACCCAAAGTGGCTCCAGTTTGGAATTTTGAGTCACATGGGAAGAGTGCTGGAACTGCCCGTGCCAAACTGAGGGGGTTTTCTGACAATTCTACCACTTTGGAATTTAGGTTTTTATACTGTCTGGGTCATATTAAAAATCTCAGAGATTAAGTGGACAGAATTCAACAGGAGCTCTGTCTCACTTTTAAAACAGGAAGCAAAGAGCAGAAAGAAGCATGTCATGGGCAGCAGGATCACAGATTCACAGACTGGTTTGGATTGGAAGGGACCTTAAAGACCATCTCCCTTAAGGGACCTTAAAGACTCCACCCCCCTGCCATGAGCAGGGACACCTTCCACTAGATCAGGCTGCTCTAACCCCATCCAACCTGGTCTTGAACATTGTCAGGGATGATTTGCTAACTCCTTGCAATAAGGAGCTGCTGGCCAGGCCTACCCAGAGGTGTACAGGTGTTTGCCCCACAAACTGAACGGGACAATCCCCCAAACTGGGATAGGGAACCAACCACAGTTTCTGATTGAGCCCCTGCTCCAGTGCACAGCCAGAGGCCCAAGAAGCAGGGCTGTCACTGAACACCTGTCTTACACCTCTGCATTTCTACCCACAAGCACTTGCCAGACCCCTAAACTTCCCACTTGCTGAGAACCAAAAGTTGCTGTGAAACTGCTGCAGTCAAACTCCCAACACCCCGAGTGCTTTAAACGCTTCCCCTGAGCACGTCTTACATTCAGTGCAAGGGTTTGGCTGCTCATCCATTTCCAACTCTCTGACTTCATCCTTTCATCAAGGAAAGACGAGCATGAGGCTGGCTCTGGGGCCTCCTGTTCCCCCCTCCTTGCCCCCCTCTCTGCAGTGTGGGGTGCTCCTCACCTGGGCGCTCGCCGGGCCGCCGACTCTCTCCGGTGTCGGGCACTGCGCTGCCCGCCCGCTCCGGGGCGAGCCGGGAGGACAGCTCTGCCTGACAGCTCCTGCCAAACAACACAGCCCGTCAGCAGGGCACAGGGACTCTCCTGGCAACAACGCTCTGTGTGCTCCTGCAGCCTGCCTGGGGTGCCCAGGGACAGCCTCTAAGGCCCTGGGTTACAAACTGCTCCTTGCTCCTTCCTGGGAAGAGGAAGATGTGCCCCAGCCAAAGCTTGGGGTGCTCATCACTGTGCCCCATCTCCACCCACAGCAATCTCTGCCTCATTCATAGAGGAGTTGAGGGGGGACAAGAGAAGGAGGGGCTGGGGTGAGCAGGAGGAAGCCCAAGCCAGGGGCTGTGCCTGGTTGGTGTGAGAATCAAGACTGATCCAAGGTTTTTAATGGGTGAAGGAAGCGACCTTTGGACAGGCATCAGAAAGGCACAGAAGTTCTCTGGCTGTCATCACCATCCCATCAATTCAAGCAGTGTATCCTCAGAGCATGGCAAGGCCCTTCTACAAGGGAGCCTCAGCTCCTCAGTCAGGGAAAAAGCCATGCTCTGCCTCTTGCAGCTGGGAATATTGCTCTGCTGTCCTTCTGGATCCAACCCCAGCTCAGTGAGCACACCCTACTCCCTGCTGGGCTAGAGTTCATAAGCAGCAGGATTAATGCCACTTCCAAGGATGTGCCTGTTCTACCAGTGGACAGAACAGGGCCTGTGATAGGAGTCCAACTGGGGCTGAGAGAAAAGCACCACAAAGTCAATAAAAAGGTGTCTCAAGAGGTGGGGGTGAATGGACAGGGCAGGATTTTCTGCTGGTTGTCAGACTTGCAAGGAAAGTGTTCTTCACTAGCCAGGGCAGGACACTGTGAGTCCTCTGAAAGAGTTTGGAAGTTAACTCCTTTCTGCATTCACCTGATCACCAAGGTATACCCTGGGTAAGCACAAAGCACTCAGCCTTTTGGTTCCTTCTAATTGAAACAGGAGCACCCAGCACTCCCAACAAGTCAGGCCACTTACAGCTCGTACATCTGACTAGGGCTTCACATCTGCTCCCATGGCTGTGGCTTTCCACTAGGGAAAGTCAGGCAGGATCCAAAATGGGTTCAGGTTCCGTTCCCGGTGAGCTCTCCTGCCTTACCCTAAACATCACCTGTAAGACTGCCAATATGACCCCAAACCCCATTTCCCAGTAGCCTCAGTGTCATTTCCTGGGAATCACTTACTTGATCTGATCCAGCAGCACTCCAGCATCCTTGGTCATGGCCTGAGCCTCTCTGAGCTGGCACTGGATGGCATTCCAGGTCTCATCCCGCTCCATCAAGCAGCTCTCAGCCACTGCACGCAGCTTCTGCTCCTGGCACACCTGGCCCTTCATCACCTCCACCTCTTCACACCTCTGCAGCAGAGCAGACCAGGGGATTAGGCTGGGATTACTGCACATCACTCTCATTCCTGCCACTCTGGCATGGCTCTGAAGTCATTTGAATGGCTTAGGCAACCAGATGGTTCCTTTCCAGTGGGAAAGGAAGCTGGATAAAGCTTGTACACTGAGTACAGGTTCTCTCCACACCAAGCCCAGCCCCAATTCCACCTTCCTCTCCATTTACAAATATATTCATTAGGGCAAATTTCCCAAACCAACACAAGTCTGTTCATTGATGGCTGCACAACTTCACCATAAAAATGACATTGCTCGAAAAGAGCAGGGATTCATTTCCTGCCCCTGGCTCCTATGGTTCTCAGTTGGATGGGAAGCAGATACAAAGACTTCACAAGCATGGAGCACAGAGGATAAGGAGGACCTGAGGAAATAACCTGAAGTTATGTCAGGGGAGGTTTCGGTTGGATATTAGAAAAAGGTTCTTCCCTCCAGGGCTGGTTGGGCACTGAACAGGTTCCCCAGGTCAGTGGGCACGGCCCCAAGGCTGCCAGAGCTCAAGAAGCATTTGGACAATGCTCTCAGGGACAGGGTGGGATTGTTGGGGTGTCCTGGGCAGGAGCAGGAGTTGGACTCAGTGATCCTGATGGGTCCCTTCCAACTCAGCATATTCCATGAGCTGATAAGCTGTACCTGACCAACTGTTATCTGACCAACTCGACACCAAGCGTGTCCACTAAAAGTTATGGTCTAGAGTAAGCGAAAAGACATTAGAGGCACAACACAAAACCACACCACTGATCACGTTTTGCAGCGTGTGAGGCCCTGCTCAGGTCCCAGCAGGCTCACCTTGTGCAGCTGAATGGCCAGTTCCTGCATCTCGGCCTCCAGCCGATCGGCGTAGGCCAGCTCCAGGGCATCGCTGGGCGGCCGAGCGCTGCTGTGCCACCGGGCGATGGCAGAGGTCATCTTCCTCTTGGGTCCAAACAGCCTGGGGGGACAGGGCAAACCCTCAGCGACCAAGCCCTGCACCACCTGTCTCTAGGCCAAAAGGGAGACTGAGGGGAGACCTCACTGCAGGCACAACTTCCTCGTGAGGGGAAGAGGAGGGGTGGGCACTGATTTCTTCTCTGTGGGGACCAGTGACAGGACTTGAGGGAATGGCCTGAAGTTGTGTCAGGGGAGGTTTAGGTTGGATATTAGAATGAGGTTCTTCACCCAGACAGTGGTTGGTCACTGGAACCGGTTCCCCAGGGCAGTGGTCACAGCACCAGGGCTGAGTTCAGGAAGTGTTTGGATGATACTCTCAGGCACATGTGCGACTACTGGGGATGGTCCTGTGCTGGGCTAAGGGTTGGACTGAATGATGCTTGTGGGTCCCTTCCAACTTGGCACATTCTGTGGTTCTGTGAATAGCACGAGTGTGCTACAGCCAAGAACTAGGGGGTATCAAAATTGTGTAGAGGCAGCCAGAAGAGAGCAGCACTCACTAGCTAAACTTTCCTGACCAGGTTGTGCATGGTTTGTAAGGGTAAGATGAGAACACCATGACAGACACTCACGTGATGCCTATTTCCTTCAGATCACTCTCTGTGAGGGTCAGGAAGATCCGCAGGTCAACATCTTGCTCCTCAAACACTTGCAGATACTTCAGGCACCCAATCTGCTCAAGGAATGTTGCCAGGTCCTGCAGTCCATCCAAACCAAACTTATTTATACCCTCACAAACAAAAAGTATTACCATTTCTCTTAATCATAAGTATCTGCTTCCTCAGGCTGCTGTAGCACCTTCCTGGGTTCCAGCAGCAAACACAGCTTCCCCCGGTTCCCTGCCCTTTCACACAACAGGGCAAGATTGGACCCTCTGCTGCAGCCATGGCCTCTTCTAGCAAGTGCAGAGAAAAATGATACACTAACAGCTACCCCAGCCCACACCACTGCTAGGTTTGGTAGCACACCCACAGGCCTGAAAGGTCTAGAAAACCCCTCCAAGCAAAAGCAACACCTAAGTAAAAAGTTATCTGTACAAGAAATTGCTGTTTCACAAGCATTTAAGTTTGGGCAGAGGTTTGAAATCAAAGGTGTTTTGGTGACAACTTCCCTTTTATCCAAGAGAGCAGCTTAGGCAACGTTGGAAAAGCCTCCCAGGCCTGTTACAGTGACACAGGCTGTATGACTGACTGTGTGCAGTTACCTGGGGCCCTGTGTAGGCAGGGGGCTCAGGAAGGACCACGTGCTGAGCAGAGCCCCCAGCCTTCCCTGAGCAGTGGCTCCACTGGCTGTCACTGTTGCTATAGCGGTTCTTGACCTTAAAGCTCTTGGCTTGTTTCCGACTTGGGGGACTGTTTGCATGGTCAGAGTCCTGGAAAGAGAAAACACCCACAGAACATAAAGGCCAAGGAGGAGTGTGCACAGATGTCAGGATCACTAGTACAGACTCCTTCAAGACCTAAGGGCACTTCTATACATCAGCCCCAGAGCTGCATGTGAGCTGTGAGTTTAAACTATGGAATAACCTCCAACCTCTTCCCCTTCCTTAGTTTTCTTGTCCCTGTAGTAGTACCTTTCCTCACCTCCCATGGAAGTAGAGTCACAGCAGGCTGTGTAAGGGTGACAGCACTGGCCAAGCTGAAGGCAGAGAAAGGATATTTGAAGACCCTACCTCATTGCTTTCCAAGGAGCCTTCACTGCTGACTCCCAGGGCTCTGGTCAGGCATTCGCTGCTGCTGCTGCTGCTCCTGATGGTTCCCAAGTTGTTGTTGGAGAAAACATTATCCTCTGTAAAGGAATAGGAAAAAAATGTTTAAGGTCAGCTTCAACTTCTTAAATTCTGTTTTTGCTACACAATTGCCAGCAGAACCTCCTGGAGGTGTAAAGGAAGGAGAAATCCAGAGCAAGGTTTCACATGCAGCACTCATCACACAAGACAATCCTGAGGCAGAAATATCACATCTGATCCCAGATGTTAATCTTTCCCCAAGTCTGTTTAGTACCACAGACACCACTGGACAAAGCCTTGCTCCATCTCCTTCACACCTCCTTTAGATTATGTGTACAAATTGATGAGATCCCCACACTGAGCTTTGTCTTCTGTAGCTAAACCATCCCAGCGTTCTCAGCCTTCCCTCAGGAGAGATACTGCAATTTCAACATCTCAGTGGGAAAGGAACATGCAAGCCAAGGGCTGGACTCACATCCAGGTGTGCACTGCAAGCTGGCCCATTTTCTCAGACAGTGACCTACCCCGGCTGCTGCTGCTCTCCACATCCTGCTCGTTGATCGGAGAGGTGACGTCCCGGTTCCGGATGTCACCTCCTTCGCAGCTGCCATCGTCACTGAAGGTCACGTAGCCCTGAGGGGGGACCTGCTCTGTGTGCAAGAGGAAGGGAGAACACACTAAGATTAGGATACAGGTTAGCAGGGAGGCTCCAGCAGAAAATACAACCACTCAGGGAATTCAAAACAAGAGGCTGTTTTCTCAACTGGTGGGTTTCATTCTGAAAGGCACAGAGAAAACCTGAGAAATGCAGGTGCTCCCTCACACAATCCCATAGCAGCTGTACTTCCATAGTTGCATTGAAAAGAAGTCAGAGGAAACAGCCTCATAACAGAGATGCACCTTAGATAGCAGCTTAAATAAATAACCCTCTTCACACCCAAATTATCAAAGGGCAAAAACATCTGCTCAAGAGAGAAAGGTGACAACTGTGTCCCATCCCCAGCCCAGCACACCCTACAAAACCAACCCTTTTGCAGCTGTGCTAAAACACCAGGAGCATCCCACTGCCATTTAAGAAGCTCACAGTATCATTTTGATACAGACAGTGCCTGTGGGATAATACATATCTGTTTTTGAGAGAAGGAACTGATCTCTGAACATCCTTTTGAAGTCCATATCCCTTGTTATTTCAACCAGGTAATCAACCTGACAAATACCTATGACCCAGGAATACAAACTTTATACCACTGCATCCAGGGATTGAAGCCTGAGTTGGTATTGTCTGTCTCTTGGCCTATTGCAAAGGTTTTGTAATCTCATTTTTAGCAGTATTTCAAGCATCAGGGAAGGTAAAAAACCTGACAGGTCCAGGAGCAGCAAGTTCACTTTCATGATCAATGATTTCCTGGTCTGTGTGATCACTCCCTCTGTCATCAGCTTGAGAAGAACTCCAACTTTTGAGCCTGCCTCAAAAAGGGAAGCTGGGAGGGGAGCAGTCATTGAGGTAGGAGCAGGGAAGTGTCCCACTCATCAATATCCAGCCTTGACAAAAGAATTCAAGGGGTTTTCTTTCTAAACCAGAGATTGGATAGCCTTGTATGATGGTGTTTACTGCCTCTGTTCTGTACAAAACACACACGAAGCCCAAACGAAGAGAAAAAAAATTGCTGGCCCAGAAAGACCTCAGAGGACTCTCAGTCAGGCTCCTAACTCTTCTCACCATAGCAAGACAGCTTCTTGCACCCGATCCCAACTGCTGTGATCTTTGCCAAAGCCTGGGGCCCATCATGGATGCTGGGACCCTTCATCCTACGAGCAGGTCTCTGTCTCTGGGGAGTAGAACATGATTCATCTGAGGAACTCAGCTCTTCATATTTTCCTGTAGTTCAAACACACGTTGTTAGCAGCACAGTAAGTAATTTACCTACTTAATTTGCTACTGGTCCTGAAAACGCAGCTGAAAGAAAAAGGAAAATGTTAAAGAGGGAGGGTGAAACAACTAAACTAGGTCAGAAAAGGGACAGCAGACAAAAATGGTTGGATTCACGACTCTTCCATCCTCAGAAATGCTGGAATTTCCAGGATAGACCAACTAGCACTACCCCATACACACAGTAATATGCTTTCAAAACATCAAACACCTCACTTCAGGTTCCATCTCAAAATGAACAAGGTAAAACATCTGTTACCTGGACCCCTGCAGAAGACCTTGGGCACTGGGGCTGCATGCAAATCTATCAGTCCCACAATCTTTGGATGTCCATACTTCATGGCCAGTGTCCGTGCTGTGGCTCCAGTGTTATCTCTGACATCTGCCTTCACTCCCTGCAGAAAAAATACCTGTTTAAATGCACATAGCAGAAGGCACTATATAAAAAAACCCCAAGGACTGTCTTGGTTCCTCCATCAGAAATACAGGCTCACCTTTGACAGATAATTCAAGCTTCACTGATACACTGATGCCTTTCTATTCATCCACAGTGTCCCCAATCCCTGAATGCCAAATAGCCCAGGTATATAGATCTTGTGCATGGGGAACTTGTTTATCTGAGAAGTGTTTTGTATTGCTGCCTCCTTCTGGTGGGAAGTTGGACAACTTAAATGGGATGTTAAAACCAAATTGTTTAAGAGGCATGCATGCTAATAAAGCTTTGGAGGCAGAAGATGCCCACTAGCCTGAGCATGCAAGCCTTTAAACACAGTAGAAAAACTACAGCTTTAGTTGTTTCCTAATTCAGTCATTACTCAATTAAATCTACAATCAGGCCTCGCTCCTGTTCTTGCAAGGCCAGGGTAAAATCACAGTACTAGTCTGCAGAAAACAGATGCTTTGAAAGCAATCCTGGAAGTCTGAGACTTCTGACTGTCATCAAGGATCAAACATAACACTGCAAAAAAAGGCTGGTGTCAAACTTGTGGTTCTTCCTCTGAGGGCTGGAGGCAGAGACTTTCAGCTTTACAGAGAACTGTCACAACACTTACATGATTGAGAAGGTACTGAACAATTATCTCATGGCCAGAAGCAGCTGCTTCCATCAGAGGTGTATATCCATACACTGGCTCCCTAGAGAGAGAACAAACACATGGACTGGGATAATCACAGCTGGACTGTGCTGCAGTTATTGCCATACCCTAACAGAACATCTCCATCCCTCAATCTTTGCTGATCATAAACTGTCAAATACTGGCTGTTCTACTGCATTCTGGTCTATCCCAGAAAAACTCCCTGTGAGATTCAGTGTTACTTGACTGGCTGCACAGCAACAGATGACTCTTCCAGCTGCAGATCTGCCTTCCAGAGGCAAAATCAGTTTTGCAGGAGCTAATAAAGCACGAATGTCTTGTTGACCTCAAGCAATTCCATGTGCATTAATGTACAGCAGTTCCCAAGGCACAGGAATGCACTGCACACTTCAAAAATCAAACTGCACTCTGAGTATATAGAGAATTCAACAGGAACACTTGCAAAGTGCACTTGTGTTCAGAAGGCGTTGCACCTTTTGCTTTCAGAGTTCAGCTCATAATTAAACAAGCAGTAAATATAATTTCTCTTGATCTTTGTAATAAATAAACAGTGACAACATGGGCAGATAACCATTCAGTGTAAGTTTGTCCTTGTATCAGCTGTGCCACATGTCCTAAGGTGTACAGAGGAAGACAAAAGTCTGTGTTGGAGTATTTTTATGGGCCAACTGCAGCTTTCACATCTGAATGAGAAATGACAATAAAATGACAGATTCCTCCTTACTTGCAGTTGGCGTTTGCCCCATTCTCCAGTAAGAACTTGACCATCTGCTGGTGCCCAGCACTGGTGCAGTGGAACAAGGCAGTCCAGCCATGGATGTCCTTCATCTCCAGCTCTGCACCTTGCTTCAAGAGAAGAGACAATGTCCTTTACTGCGCCCCCTCTGCTCGGGCTTTTACTACCCCTCTGTGCTGGGATACCAAGAGTTTAAATCCCTGCACAAAGCTGAACTCACAACACAACACAACACTGCAGCTTGTGGACAGTCCTACCCCGAGCATTTAAACCACGTGCCCTGGCTTTACCTGTTTATCCTGGGACACACACCTGCAGAAGGAAGTAAGCCACGCTCTCGTTCCCACAGCTGGAGGCCAGCATGAGTGGGGTCTGGCCCTCCGGGGTTGGGATGTTCACGTTCACTCCTGCTTCCAGCAGCAGGTGCACGATGTTGTCATGGCCAATGTAGGAGGCATACATGAGTGGAGTCCAGCCCCCATGGTTCCTCTGGTTTAAATCCAGGTCTCCACTAGATAACAGAGGAAAGAAATCAGCTCCTCTTGCTACCATCGTTGCACTGAAAAAAATTCTAGCACTGAAGCCTGCATGGAATTCCTTCCAGCTCTAGCACAACTTCCACCAAACCACGGATTCATGGAGCGCTTTGGGTTGGAAGGGACTTTAAAGACCATCTTGCTCCACCCCCCCCATAGGCAGGGACACCTTCTGCTAAATTACTAAGGAAATAATTTTAATCAGCAGACTTGCCCCTGAAACTTTGTGCCCCAGAACCCTTTGGGAGTGCCAGGGACGTGTCCCTGCTGCACTGACCAGTGCGGCAGCCAGGGAGAACCACACCTGGCAGAGGTAACCCCAGAGCTGTGCCCACCCCAGCCCCTCTCACCGCTGAATACACTCCTGCACCACTTCATACTGCCCAACAGAGGAGGCTGTGTGCAAGTCCAGAGGGACATCCAGCTCTTCCCGACAGATCATCCCGACCCCGTGCCACATGGACAGACTGCGGCTCAGCAGCTCCGACTCGCTGGCTTCGTCACTCAGCTCCGACATCCCGCCCTCAGGAACCAAAGCAAAGCACAACATTTAGCTCCTGACCCCCATTTTCCATAGATCAAGGCATCACCCACTGGAGCTACAGCTCCAAGGTGCCACAGGCATGGAAGGTGAGGTCAGCTCAGAGCTGCGGGGTTTCAAATTCCTACCTCTTCTCTGATCCACTCCTCAGCCCGAGGCAAGAACAGCTGCTGAGATTTTGCTGAAAGTTCTCTCTTGCTGCAGGGGACTCTGGGATTCGAATACACTGGAAAAATAAAAGGCAATAATGCTAAACTCCACATCTTTCAAATCCTATATTAAGATTTCAGAAGCACTGGCTTTATTTCCTTCCCTTCTAATCCCAACATGCCTAAGGCAGCTTTGGATACCCTCATCAAGACAAGACTAAACACCTATTTAAGATGCTTAGTGTTATACAAAAGGATGTAACTCTTGCTTTGCATGTTTTAGAATGCAAAGAGAGAATTAAGAATCCATGTGTCAGACATTCCTGGGTTTTTTCCAACTGTCTTATGTTACAGGATGGCCCTGCTTAAATTAAGACACAGTCACTAATAATGATGACTGCCCACTGCTCCCAAAAGTGGTTCATGTCACCTAAACAGGGTTCACACTTCACTGTCATCAGGTTGTAAGGAGAATGTTTCTACCATTTATTGTTTCAGCTCTTCAGATGCAGCCCAGCCCTGTCTCTGTGAATCCTGGAAATTGCTGAAACACTTGGAGCAGCAGCACCTGCCCATTCATTATGGGAGCATGCCCACCATTCTGCAGCCATAACCTAATTACACAGTTCCTCCAGTTCCAGCACTACCTGCAAGGTTGATTCCCAGCCTTAGGGAGCAATCACAGATTAATCACTATAACCACTATAACCACTCACAGGAGTGCTCTTGCTTGGCACTTCATAAAGAGCTGTTCAACACAGCTGCATCCATCAGCTGAGGGCTTCAGCTGCAGCTCCAGGCACAGAATCCTGGAATGGTTCAGGTTGGAAGGGACCACTGGAAATCATCTCACCCAACCTCCCTGCTCAAGCAGGGTCTCCCTGAGCACATTACTCAGGGCCATGTCCAGTGGGTTTTGAATATCTGCAGGGAAGGAGATTCCACAACCTCCCTGGGCAGCTTGTTCCAGTCAATCCCATGGAAGTGCTTTCCCCTCCCTGTAGTGTCATTGCCCACCATGCAGCATTTCTGGGCTTTGCTTGGTCCCACTAGATATTCTGCTGGGCAGCTAAGCCAACATAAAGAGGTCTTTCTTCTTCCTGATAATTTCTTGACAATTTAATTCCTCAGATTGATTCATTCTGGGGTCAGGCAAATGCCAAATCTGGCATTGGGGAGGAATAAAAGAGAGTAGAAACAGGCTTTTCAGGAGCAGTTGCTCTTTAGATTCCCTCAGCTGTAACATTTCAGAACCATATTTATATTTTCTGATCAACTGTGAGTCTTTGTCTTGGAAGCACCAAGAAACATAAGAAACCACCTTTAATTCCTACCTCTTCACTCCCCACCCAGATCCTTTCTCTCACACATTCCTTTTCTTCCCCTCCTTCAGCTTGTTAAGACTACAAAAGCACCATCTATTCTACTTAATCAGCTGGTGATAAACATTTCCTTCCTTAAGATATGTGCAAAAGCACTTATTTTACTTAATAGCAGCAGTTTGTACTACGCTGGGCAACCCAGAGCTCCCAGGCAAGAATATGCAGGGCAGAGCACAAATGAAAGGCCTGAACACCTCAGAACCAAAATACAAAGAGATAGAAGTGGATTTAAGTTGCTCATAAGGAGGAAAATAGAAATGTTTCTTACTACAACAGATTAAAGCTGCTCCTGGAAGGCAAAAAGGCATGAGAAAGGAGGTAAAATCCAGGGAGGTTTGCAGAAGCATATTCAGATGCAAGTGAAGCTCATTGTCTCTGCAGCCCTGCTTATTAATTGGATACATTAATTATAAACCACAGAGGTGTTTGGTGTTTGTCAGAATCAGCCCCACACAGGTACAAGTTACCAACACAACCTTGGTGAGGTGATCACAGTCAACAGGGCAATACTGACAGGACAGACAGGTTATGATGGACTTCAGAATATTCAGGGCACTCAGCCTCACTCCTACCACCTGCACTGTGCCCTGCCTCCATCTCTGCTTTTTTATTGTTTTTAAACTCTGAGATTTCACCTCAAGACTGAACTGGAGCATGATGTCAGCTCTGTAAGCACCTGAGGACAGTGGAGCACAATCTACAGAACAACAAAAGTGATCAGAGCCCTCAGGGCTGAAATGAAAAACCTGGGTGAAATAAAATCAGGGTTGTCTGGTCTGAAAAGGAGATGCCTGGAGGGGACATGTGACACCAGCCTCAAATACACAACTGGCTGCTGCAGAGAGGATGGCAGCAATAATCCATTCTTTGTGGCCAGGGTGAATATCATGGAATCACCAAATGGTTTGAGCTGGAAAGGACATTAAAGCTCATCTCCTTCCACCCCCTGCCATGGGCAGGGACACCTTCCACCAGCCCAGGTTGCTCCAAGCCCTGTCCAACCTGGCCTTGGACACTTCCAGGGATGGGGCAGCCACAGAAAGACTCAAGTCATAGCATGGAAGATGTAAAAGTACACTCAAGGTACTGAGGGAGATTCAGTTACTAAGAATAAGCTTGACAAAGACCTCCTGAACGTTTACAGGCTGTTCTTTTGCTTTGGGGCAGAATAACCAAGGCAATGTTTGTTAGAGACCTTCCCCAACCCTGTTATCCTAGTTTCAGCTGGAACACAGTTCATTTTCTTCCCAGCAGCTGATGCAGGGCTGTGTTTTAGATGCAGGATGAGAATAATGCTGGTAACATACTGATGTTTTTGTTGTTGCTGAGCAGTGCTTACCCTAAATCAAGGCCTTTCCAGTTTCCCATGCTCTGCCAGCAAGGTTCCAGAGAAGCCAGGAGGGAGCATGGCCAGGAGAGCTGAGCTGAACTGGCCTGAGGGATATTCCATACCACAGGACATCATTCCCAATATATGAACTGGGGAGGTTGGCTGGGAGGGGCCAGTATTGCTTGGATATGGGATAGGCATCAGCCATCAGGTGGTAAGCAACTCTGTTGTGCATCACTTGTTTCTGTTGGATTTATTTTTTCATTATAATTACTATTATCATTATATTTTATTTTGCTTCAATTATTAAATTGTTCTTATCTCAAGCCATCAGGTTTTTTTCTTTCTTTTCTGATTCTTCTCCCCATCCCACTGAGATGGGGAAGGGAAGAGCAGCAGCCTTGAGCTTATTCACCAGTTGGAGTAAGCCATGACACCTGTGAGGCTGCTTAAATTATTATTAAATTTACTCCATCAACACCCAGCTATTTATCAGGATCAGAACTCTACAGAGCTGAGGCTCAGAACAGGCAGCAAACCCCACACTGACCTAGATTTGGAGGTTGCTGTTTGAGCAAAAAGGAAGGCAGAAAGAAACCCTAAACAATATAAACTTAGTACTTAATGCACCTTTTTGGAGGATAAGCCTAAGGAACATGAGACAGTAGATGGAAAGTGATGGAAGAGCCACAATAAAATAAATGAGAGGTGATTTGAGAAGCAACTGAGGCAACCACTCCCCAGCACAGAACAAATCCAACTCTGCTCAGCAATCAGCCCTCACCAGTTCATCTGCACTGGTTCTGCTCAATTCTTTCTCTCACATGCCCTTCCACAAGCACAATGACACCCACATGGGTCTTTCTGTCACAAAACACACATGACTCTCAAGACAGCACAAGTGTGGAGGCTGTTGGAGCTTCCAACTGAGCCATCAAGCTGATAACAGAGAATCACGAAATCTCATGAGCTGGAAGGGACCCACAAGGAGCATCAAGTCCAACCCCTGGCTGTGCACAGACACCCCAACAATCCCACCCTGTCCCTGAGAGCATTGTCCAAATGCTCCTGGAGCTCTGTCAGCCTTGGTGCTGTGCCCACTGCCCTGGGGAGCCTGGGCAGTGCCCAACCACCCTCTGGGGGAAGAACCTTTTCCTGAGATCCAACTTGACCCTGCCCTGACACAGCTCCAGCCGTTCCCTGGGGTCTGGTCACTTGTCACAGGGAGCAGAGATTGGAGCTGCCCCTCCCACTGCTCCTCATAAGGAAGCTGCAGACCCCAATGAGGTCTGACCTCAGTCTCCTCTTCTCCAACTGATCACACCAAGTGCCCTGAGCTGCTCCTCAGACCCTTCACCATCCTCACATCCCTCCTTTGGACACTCTCCAATAGCTTTAGAACCTTGGCACACAGAACTGCTCACAGGACTCGAGGTGAGACTACACCAGAGCAGAGCAGGAACATGCTCCACTTCTGCTCCTTAGTTCTATCTCCCCTAAAAGCAGCAACAACCTACTGGAGGGAGTTATAAGCCCTGTTACCTCCCTGTACAGCTACAAAGAGTTGTTACCAGCTCAGCCACAACAACAAGAACCGAAACATCTCATCTTTGCACTGCTGACACACATCACAGCTGCAGGAACCACATCAGGTTCCAGACCGTAGTGGTGTGACAGAAAGTGTTCCTGGACACATCACACCTGGGTTCAATTCTACTGCTGAAAATACACCAAGTTCTTCATCTTTTAAAGCTTGGACTCAACGATCTTAGAGATCTTTTCCAACCTTAGTAATTCTACCACGAGCCTGGCATTCTCGGGCACGTTAAAGCACACAATACAATCTTAGAAAAACGAGATAAGAGGCACAAAAGCACTTCAGGCGCAGCGTCAGGGAGCACATATCCCACGGCAGGGGCTGTGCCCAAGGCAGCCGGACACGGCACCGCCAGGGCTCGGCGCGGGCCCAGCGCGGCTGGAGCTGTCCAAGCGGCCGCCCCACGGCCGTTACCGAACGGCTCCCGGCAGACGGTTCCCAGGCCCGTTAATCGCGCACCTCTCCCGAGGCCCTGCTGGGAACGCGGTCTCAGCGCCGCGCGCCCGGCTCAGCGAGCGGGTCGGAACCGCTGAGGCCCACCGAGACCGGAGAGCGCCCGGAGACAACCCCGAGGGATTCCCCCCTCAGCACCGGCCCGACCCCTCACCTGCCCCGGTGAGCGCCCCGCCGGAACTGGCCCCGCTCGCGCAAGGCATGCTGGGAGCGCCCCGCCCGCCAGCGCTGCGGACTACAACACCCAAGAGCCCCCGCGGCGCAGGGCCAATGGAGGGCTGTGCGAGGGGCGGGGCGAAGGCCGGCCGAGGGGGTTGGGCTGGCGGTTGTAGTGAGGAGTCGTCGCGGTCCCGCCGGTCCCTTGGCGCTGCCGCTCGGCTTTGTGCCGCTCGTCCCGACTGCCGGCAGTTCGCTGTGTCCGCGGCCCGGCCCGGGCCGGGGCTGAGCGGGCGGTGGGTGCTGTGAGTGAGGGGAAGGGAGCGGGGCCGCGGGCGCGGGAGCCGCGTTGCCATGGGGACGGTGCGCGTGCGCCGCGCGGCCGCCATTGCGGGGGCTCTGAGGGGGGTCCCCCTGGGGTCCCTCACCCGGGCCCGTCCCTGGGCTGTGACCGGGCTGCGGTGGGTCATCCCCGGCCCCGTGCCCCTGAATGCAGCCCGAAAACCAAGCTCTGTCTCCCACCATTACCTGTCTTCTCAGCTGCTCCCTCCCAGCGGCGCTGTCGAGGTGGATGTGACTGCAAAAGTCAGTTCTAGTGACACGGAAAGGATCTTATGTCTCAATTAGAATCCTAGAGTCGTTAAGGCTGGAAAAGACCTCGAAGATCATCAAGTCCGACCTAAGACCTAATAACCTCCATACCCAAGCTCTCCAGAAAGTGCCTGTTGTGCTTATTGCTGACAAGTCTTTGTTTTAAACACTGCTTCCTCCCACTGAAGATGAGCCGTTTGCTGACTGATAAGTCAGATCCAGCATAACATCCATAACTTTGGGATACTGACCTCCCAAATAATCACAGAGTACCACACCAGGCAGTTTATTTTATCCTCATGGGACTCCTATTTTCCTTAACATCCTCTGCTCGCTGTCAGAGCACTGTGCTCCGGCCATGGAAGTTTTCCTCCTCTTTATTTAAATCAAATTCAAGGGTTGTCCCAACAAAACCACTGTGTGGATATGGACTATAAGGTATTTACAGAGGCAATTGCAAGTTATAAACATCCCAGGGCATAAGCTGAGTTTAACCTCATGTTTTGAGGATCTTTATTGCCTACATCAATGCAAATAATGGTGACATCACTTGAACAGTTATTTCAGTCCTCAACAACACACAACCTTTGATGATCCTTGTGAGTTTCTTCTGATTCTGGGTCTTCTGTGATTCTATGGAACCTCTGAACCTTTCTTTCCCAAAAAGAAATCATTTACTCTCATGTTTAATTGCCCAGAAAACCATGCAATTGTAGCATAAAATGTAAAGGTTTTCAGTGAGGATTAATGATCTGATTTCTTAGTACAGCTACATCCCCTTCTGTGTTGTCTCAACTCCTCATGTACATTAAGGAAAGAATCCACTTTAGAAACACTTTGAGAGGTCAAAATCCAAGAACATGCTGACTCTCAACTATTTTTTGTTTAAAAATCCAGTGAAAACAATAGCAAACACAAACCAGTGTTGAAGGCCAGGTTGGACAAGACTTGGAGCAACCTGGTCTGGTGGAAGGCATCCCTGCCCATGGCAGGGGGTGGAATGAGATGAGCTTTAAGGTCCCTTCCAACCCAAACCACGCTGGAATTCTGTGACTCTATGATCATTTTATCTGTCATTTGAACAGTGAGGAGAGGAACATTTAGGAAATAGGGAAGACAAGTGAAATCCAGCTGAGAGCAGAGATGTCAGCCTGTCTTTGGTGTGTTCCTCCCCTCTCCATGCAGGCAGAACATGGGAACATGCTTTAAGAGAACACAGTTACAGCAGTCTGGCTAAGAACCCCAGAGAGTACTCTCTTAATGAGAGGCTCAGCTGCCTCTGGGGTGTGTGTGGTAAGCAGGGCAGAAAGCTCGTGAAGCTCTGAACTCAGGTAGGAAGGAACAGCTCCAAAAATGCAGATTGTATCATTCCCTGGGAGTGCTGAGAATTCCACTGCCCTTACTGCACGTGCTGTGCTCTTGCTTTGTGCTGATGTTACCCCTCATTCTTTGGTGAGGTATCCTTAAGCTCATCTTTCATTTGTTTGAAGGGAAGCTGTTCCAATGGCCTCAGAAGGGCAGAGTGAGGATGCAGCACATCCAGCTGAGCCCCCTGCAGCTCCTGTGCAGAGTGAGAGACCATTCCAGTGGGGATCCATACTCGCTGCAGTGAAAGACCAGCTCCCATCTCTGGACTCCGAGTCCTCCACAGTAAGCACTGAAACCTGCCTTTCCTCACACTGCCTCAGAAAAATCTCTCAAAGGAAGAGCAGGTGACCTTAGGGAGGTGTTTCAGAGTGGCTGGGGTGGTGTTCTGAATGGGCTGCCTGTCCTGGCTGTGTAACACTGTGCATTAATCCACAGCCTTTTGGATTATCCTCAGTTGTCAGTCATTGCCATCTCCTCTCACTGTATTCTTTGGAACCTGCCCCTCTGCTCAGGTGAGACCCCACCTGCAGTGCTGCCTCCAGCTCCAGGGTTCCCAGCAGAGGAAGGACATGGACCTGTGGGAGGGAGTCCAGAGGAGGTCACCAAGATGATCAGAGGGATGGAGAAGCTCTGCTGTGAGGAAAGGCTGAGAGAGTTGAGATTGTTCAGCCTGGAGAAGAAGAGGCTCTGGGGAGACCTTAGAGCCCCTTCCAGTGCCTAAAGAGGCTCCAAGACAGCTGGAGAGGGACTTTGGACAAGGGCCTGGAGGGACAGGACAAGAGGGAATGGCTTCCCACTGCCAGAGGGAAGGGTTAGATGGGATATTGGGAAGAGATTCTTGGCTGTGAGAGTAGTGAGGCCCTGGCACAGGTTGCTCAGAGAAGCTGTGGCTGCCCCATCCCTGGAAGTGTCCAAGGCCAGGTTGGAGGGGGCTTGGAGCAACCTGGGCTAGTGGAAGGTGTCCCTGCCCATGGCAGGGGGTGGAATGAGGTGAGCTTTGAGGTCCCTTCCAACCCAAACAATTCTGTGATTCTCCAGACAAGAAGTATTTCCAGGGAAGAGGAGAGTAGAGGGCATCTTACAGAATGAACCCACATTTCTTCTTAGTTTGTTCAGTCAAAAATTTGGTATGAAAGCAGCATCCTACTGATTTACAGTGAAATGATAATGTTTTATGCTTGGCAGTATTATGCTATTCATTCCAACAATGTACTTGCAGACAGCAGGCCTGTTGGTATGTTTTTTGTATCTATGAGGATCACAGGAAAGTGATAGTCCTAAAGACTTGGTGATCCACTGGAAAAAAGCATTTGGCAGATATTTCAATCCTGCATTCTGCTTTTTTTTTTACTGCCTGTAATTCTCCACAAGCCCTGTTGACTTTTTGTGCTTCAGTTTTACGTGCAAAGAATGAGACTGAGAGATATTGTGCAGAATTCTTCAGTGTGATACATTTTTCACTTGCTGGGGCTGGGTCAGCTTGCTCTTGGCTGCTCAAGATCTCTGTTCATATGCAGCATCAGTCTGGTGCAAATAAAAAAGTGCCTTCCACTCTAGTCCAAGATGCTCTGGCACTGACTTTCCTGAGGGGATAATGTGTTTCAAGACTATTATTGGTGGCCTTTTGCCCAAATAAAAATATTTTGTTAATTTTCAAACATGTATAAACTTGAAAAAACAACTTTGAACACACAAAGGATATATTTTATTCCATCTTATTGTGGCCACTAATGGTACAAGGGGAGTCCTGTGGGCAGTGAAGGAAATGCCTCCATTTATCACTTATCATTATCAATGATCTGAAGCACTGTGATCTAGTGGATTGAGTATTGATAGAGATACCATGACTTGATTTCTGCACCTGGATCTGTCACTACCATGGTGGGCAAACCATTTTGCCTCACAGTATCTCAGTTCCCCTCTACCTATTTAAAACAACCATTGCATTTTAATATGTGCCTGTATGGTCTAGATTAAGGCCCAACACTGGAATTATTTGTAGGTTTTCTTGTTGTGTAAGTGTACAATAAGGTTAAGAAGGAGGAAAAGCTTCACACTTTGGGGCCAAATACCATTGTGTCACTCTAAATCCCACTGAACCTTTCTTTTTGCTTACAAACAATCCCCAATTTCTCTGTTTCTATTTAAAAATTCCTGCTGAAGGAGCCGAGGCAATCTATTCGGCACTTCATTTGCATTCCAAAGATCTGGTTGTATAATCCCTGTGCTGCTGAACCTGCAGTTCCAGTGCTGCACCTTTGTCTGAGCGATTCCCACGTGCCTGAAGATCCATTTATGCATCCGAGATCTGTGACCTGAATGTGCTCTGCTCCTGCCTCTGAAAATGGCACTGACAAATGTGTTTTATGCCCTGAAGTACCTTCATTACCCTGATATGCAATTTATTAAGAGGAAAGGTGTTCTGCTGGAGTTTTCTTCATGTTAAGGAGAGTTAATGATACCAGAAAGAATGCTCTGCAGTGAATTCCCAAAAATGCACACTTGCAAAACAGAGGGACAAGCAGGAAAGCTGTGTCCTGACTGCTGAGGAGGTGCTTAATCTCCCCTTGGTGTCCATGCATAAGTATTCATCTCCAATACATATCTTATGTTTGGGAAAGGGATTTTCAAAGCTGTTTAAATGCTGACCTACCAACCACAGATGCTGTTTGCATTCTGAAGAGTGGATGTCAGGGTCCTGGTTGCAATAAAAAGCTTTCATGGCCCTGCCCATCCTCAACTGGTGCCCAGCAGCTCTACTTAAGCTCAGCTCGGGGCCTTCATTCTCTGTCTGAGCTGTGTTGGAGAAGTGCTGGTTTCTGGTTGAGCTGGACTTTCATCTGTGAATTAACTTTCAGGCTTTACCTCTGACCTGCCTCATCACCACAATATTGCCTTATCATGTAGATTTTTTTGCTCAGCCTCGTTGCTACCCCTGGTCTGTCCTGCTTGTTCCTCTTGGGTACTGTGAAACTGGGCTTGGCCTGGTGGGGCCTTGCCTTTCCAGTCATGAGCTCCCCTTCCCTTAGAATCACAGAATCCCAGAATGATTTGGGTTGGAAGGGACCTTAAAGCTCATCTCTTTCCAAACCCCTGCCATGGGGGTTGGAAACCTTCCACTAGGTTGCTCCAAGCCCTGTCCAACCTGGCCTTGGACACTTCCAGGGATGGGGCAGCCACAGCTTCTCTGGGCAACCTGTGCCAGGGCCTCAGCACCTCATGGGGAAGAATTTCTTCCCTATATCCCATCCAGCCCTTGCTTTGGCCATGGGAAGCCATTCCCCCTTGTTCTGTCGCTCCAGGCCCTTGTCAATAGTGAGCAGCTCTGCTCTTGCCACTGATGGTGAGTGAGGTAGGCACAGAATCTCTCAGGAGTTAGAGAACTTCCCACCCTTTTCATTGCTCTGCTCAGCGGGATGTTTGTCATCAACCTTCGTAGAAATTCAGTGTTTTACATGGTTTTTACAGTTGTAGCTTCCTCAAACATTGGGTGGCTGTGAGACAGCCTGGGTTGGTGACTGTTGGGCTACTGGACTGTCTGTTGGGACTGCAAAGAAACTTCTTGGCCCTGCACTTCGAGGGGGGACAGCATGGGAGCTGTCACTGCAAACCAGATATTCAGGCAAGTATTACAGTCACCTGTTTAATTTCTCTTTTTTTGTTCTTGTTTTCAGTCTGACTGTGAGAGTGATGAGGAACTTTTCATCTTCCAGCGGGAGCTGCCCAACTTAATTCCTGACCTTTCAGAAGAACTGATGATGTTTTCCCTGGAAGACTCCAACGTGCAGGTTGTGACTGTTGTGTGGGGGCTGTACTGGTGTCACCCCTCTCTTCTGGCTGTCTCCAGTGTGGGCATCTGCTGGTGTTGGACCTATTTGACTGAACTATGTGATGGAAAAGCTTAGTCTCCAGTACTTTCTCCCACTAGAAACTGGATCTTTCATTCCCTTTATACAGTGACTCTAAAGTTTTCTCTGTTCTTGAGATTTTAGAACTTTTTTGTCCTGTCTCCTGGCAGTTTTTATTGTCCTTTTACTGTTTGTTTTTCCTGTGCACTAACAGTGCACACTAACCCTTCAGATTGATGCCTGAATTTTTCAGGGTTTTAAATTGTTTCAGCTACCATTTTATGTGTCTAGAAAACGAAGAATTATTTAGGACAGTGCAGAAAGGGGGACAAGTATGAAGTTTACTCCTTGAACAGCTTTTCTGGGAGAAAATTTTTACTTTGCTCCTGTAGTGATGAGTTCATAGAATCCCAGAATGGTTTGGGTTGGGAAGGACCTTAAAGCTCATCTTGTTCCAACCCCCCCTGCCATGGGCAGGGACACCTTTCACTATCCCAGGTTGCTCCAAGCTCCATCCAACCTGGCCTTGAACACTTCCAGGGATGGGGCATCCCATTCCTGGAAGATAAGCCATCATGAGAAGCTGGAAGAGGAGCCAGCTGACCCTACTGTTCCATCATGGGAAGACTAACTCCCCATTGTTTATCTTGGTGTGAGAGATGTCCTACAATGAGCACGTGTAAGGAAAAGAAATTTCAAGGATGTTTAGCACTTCCTGAAATTAAAGTTTCTGGAAAGTAAACAGTCTTACTGTTTTCCGTGGTGGATGTGGTGTGGGTTGTTTCCATATGGTGTCTGAGTTGGACTTGTTGTCTTCCAATCACTTTGTTTTGGTTTATTATCTGCTTCTAAAGCTCAGGGAGATATCACTTTCTGCACATGTGTGCTTTTTCTACCTGTAGCAAATCCAGGAAACAGAAAGACAACCATGGGAAATCTGGAATGGAGACCTGGAAAGTTTTGGCTTTCAGGAAGAAACAGATGGTACCCAAATCTTTGCAAAAGAAGATGTACAAATGATTAAAGATGAGACTTGCAATCTTGCCAGGCAGACTGAAGAAATGCCAAACCAAAAGGGAGCTGTTCTTGAAGAGTCTCTTGCAGATTCCACAGATCACCTTGAAGAGAAAGAACTGGGCAGGAGACAGGCCAAGGATACAGCATTGTCTGTGGAAGGGCTGTACAGTAAAAAAGAGAGAAAAAAGCTGATAAAGACAAAGATACTCTCCAAAACCATTCTGGAGCCATCCCCAGGCCACCCTGAGCAGGATGTCAAACCTCCCTCCTGTGGTATCAACAACAGTCTAGAAAGAATTGCAAAGGGAGAGACCTCCTCAGATGAGCATCTTGGAGAAGTGACCCATTTGTCACTGCAGGTGAGTGGCCCCAAGAACAAACTTTGGGGGGTGGGGGCACGGTGCATTGCTTGCAGAGTCCTACTAAAGTGAGGAACTGAAGTGCCAACTTCTGCACATACAGAGGGTATGTGTTCTATAAGCTACCAAAAGCTGTCTCAGAGCTGTCATTACAAGTCCATCTTGGTGGCAAAACCAGTGGATCAGCAGTGTGGCTCCTGGAACCTCAGGAGAGCCAACCACAGCATCTGGCTCTGGAAGCGCAGGAGACTCTTCTGGTTCCAGGCAGACTTAGCACTAAAACAGAGACCTTTCTGGCCTTTCAGTGTCTGATCTTTCCTGTAGTGCTGGAGGTGAGAAGAGAAGATGGTTAGGATTGTTCCTGAAATCCTAAATCTCTTCCTTAGTTCTGTGGGATGACTAGCTTATGTGTTAGCTGGGATGTGGCCCAGCGTGGAGAGATGGTTCTCTTCAGTACTGTAGTTATAGGTCTTCCTTTATTGATTTTTGAGTTCATTAGGACTTAATCAGCACAGAGCATGACCTGATATTTCTGTTCAGAGCCTTCCATAGGTCAGAGTACAGATATTTCCTTTCCCTTTCATCTACATTCACAAATATACATTTTAATGTTAGAGCTGTTCCAGTGCAGGCAAAGAATGCAGCTGCTTGCCTGTGTGTTAAATTGTGTTGCCTCATTGGAGGGGATCTTTTTCAGGTGGTTCTGGGTTTAATTCCCATTTCACCTCATGTACATCAGTTGCTATATTAATTCAGGAGGCATCATTTGCCTTTCAGAACCTGTTTGATATCAGTGATTTAATTAGCTGATGGTTTTGGTTGGGTACTGAGACCAGGCTCAGTGTGTTCTCACTTTAATTTGGAAGGTGGTTGTTACCTGCCAGCTCAGCAAAGTATTTCATTTATGTCAAGTTGTTAAAACTCATATACAGTTGCTTCCTGATTCATATCAGTTAATTTGATTTTTTTCCCTTAAATTCCTTTCTGTGTTAGAAATGGAATTGTGCAAATCTTAAATTCTTTTCTTCTGGACCCTGTCCAGTACCTTCCAACAGTGCTGTTCCTAGTAAGACTAAGGAGTCTAAAGCTTTAATAAAGCAGGTTAGATGATATTTTGATCTTTGTTATTATAATGGTTTGTACTTCAGCACTATTATTGAAAGAGAAGCTTAGTTCTAACTGCATCATAATAAAATAAATGTATATATTGTCTTTCTCTTCGGGCTTTTTGATAAAACAGAACCTGTGATGTAGTTCTCAGTTGTCAGTCCTTTCTTGCTGTTCCAGACCAATAAATAATGGCATTGTTGAACCAGTGTCAGCTTTGTGTTGGTGAGAGACTTCAACTTGTGACTCTCATCAGGCTTTTATCTTCCATCAGCTGCAGTGTGTAATGTTAGAACAGAACTAGTCAGGGTTCAGGTGTGTGTGAAGATTTATTGCTCAGGAAGGACGGAGAGTCTTCTCTGAAACAAGAGGGGCAGATGACAGAGGTTTTACAGGGTGAAACTGCTGGGTTTGGAATCTGCTTCTGCTTTCTAAAACCTGGGAGTGGTTATGAGAAATGCATGTTTGCTGTAGCTGTGACATCCTTGTCACGACTGACAGCCCCCTTCCTTTTAATAAAACTCATGAGTACTTCTAAGTTCTGGTGATGATATTTCAGATGGATGTGAGTATTTTTAATTAAACTTTCCATTTCAGCTGTTGTTCAGAGGAGAAGCAATCGGTGTTTTAAATGCATGTGGATTTGTCATGGCAGGCTGGTTCTCATACCTGAGTTAGCAGTGTGAGTGTGCTCTCAGCCAGGTGTGTGGGATTCCTAGCAATGAATCCTATATTCACTGTGGAATAAGCAGCTGGGAGATTGCATCTGCACCCAAGATTGCTGACTGTACCTAGGGGAATGGGAATTTACCCTGGTCAGGAATTGGAGAGGGAGGAAAAGGCTCAGAGCCTCATCTCAATGAACGGAAAAGCCAGAATTTCTTCTCTTATGAGTGGCAGTGAGAAGTTCTCAGCATTATTCAGGATCAGAATACATGTGCTTGGTCTCGGATCAGGCCATTTTTTAATCTCTTTCACTGTCTCCAGGGATTTTTTGTAGCCTATTTCAAAAGGGTTCGTGATTGTCAGTGAAAAAACCTCAGCAGAAGGAGATGAAGCAGCTGGAGAGATGCACTGTCCAAAGGGATATAATAAATCATTCCATTCCTTCCAGCAGTTCCTTGTGGAGCTGCTGAAAGCAAGCTGGCAGTGAAGTTAGGGATGGTCTTTTGGGAGTGAACTTTCCATCACATTTCTATTGTCTTCTTTCAGAATATTGAGAAATGGGATCTAGACAAGAATCTTGAGGAGCTGGAGCAGCAGAGAGATAACACTCATGCAGAAGTTGCTTTCTTCTCAGCAGATTGTGGTAATATTACTAAATTAACACCAGCTTTGCTGAAAGTGTATAAAAATAAATAAAACTCAGGTTCCTGTGTTTAAGTCATTCCCTGCAGCATGATTTTGAATGTTGAAATCGTAGTGGGGGTTTTTAATCCCTGTAAAACATGTTTAATTAGCTTCCCTCAAGATTTCATCTGGTTTTCTTAGTCTGAAGCCAGTGCTTCGTGGCCTGCCACGGCCTAGGAGTGGATCAGACAAGCTGGATGAAGGTTTGAAGGGAGTCAGAGCCAGATGCCAATAATATCTTTATCCTTCCCCTTCTGACAGACTGTAGGAAAAGGGACAATGTGGAAATGAGGACTGGGTGTGTTGGGTGATCCTGTGGCAGGAGACCACAACTGGTGATTCCTTTTGTTGCTCTTCCGTAGAGACCTTCAGGAGGAACTGTGAGCTCCTGAAAGAGCTGGAAGAGCTGTGTGCCAGGCAGTCCAGGACAGTGTCTCCTCTCTGCAGGTGGCTGCCAGCCAAGCCCTACTCCTTTCAAGAAGAGCAGGACAATAAGTAGGTCCTTTTCTGTCACATACCCTGGGTAATCCTGGCTGCCAGTAGGGATACTGGGAACTCCCTGTCTTCTGGAGGTGCTGTTCCCTGTGGCCACTGCAGAAAGCTGATTCCATGGTTGCAATATGCTACAGGGATGTTAATGGGGAAAATTAAGACTCAGTCATTGCTATACATTTGATGATAAACAACTCAGCATTATCCATCAGCCACCACCTTTGTCCAGGCCTTACTTGAGACAAACGGGAAAGGCAGGAAAATGAGGCTGAGCTAATTATCAGCTTCACTTTTTTTGTCATCCAAGCTACCAATTTCTTTTTATTGGTACTTCAATTTAGGTAAAATGTACAGGATGGTTTTTTGTGGGTATCAGTGGAGATGTCAGGGCAGCATGGAGGGTTCTGTGTGAAAGAAGTGGATTTTCAGGCTGTTCAGAGCAAACAACAGCAATGGTGTAGGCACAGAGGAAACAATAGTGAAAAAGCCTGTGGAGTGGAAGGTGGGAAGTATCCTCATTGCCAGAGCAGAGAGAGCCATGAAGATGATTTGCACTTTGTGTGCTCTGAAGGATAAAACAGAACTGCCAAAAGTGGCAGAGAGGAAAAGGGAGACCTTTTCTTTCACATTGACACAGCTAATTGGTACCATAACTGCCTGCCTTTGTTCTACAGAACTATTTGATGTTGTCAGATTTTGAGAACTAAATATCCCTCATCATCCTGCCTGTGATCTGTATGCCTGGGGGAAGCTGAATCTTTGAATTAAGCTTTGAAAGGTGGTGGATAGTAGACAGAAGTAGAGTTGGAATCTGTATGGTAGCCAAGCACAAAGCTCTTTTCTCAACCCGGTTTTGATCCTAATCCACACTCTGCAGGACTTCTTGTCTGGATAAGGCAGAGGACATGCTGAAATGGTGTTTTCTATATGCAGGGATGTTGCCTTGCCATCATCCTGTCTAAGTTCTCTGAGAAGGAACATTAGATTACAGAGCCTGCCAGAGCCTGCAACTGTGTACTTAGACTTAAGAGATGATGAACCACAGAACTCGGTGACATTCCTTGAGGAAGAACAAAGGTATAGCCTGGATTTATACCACTTTATTGGTAGTGAGAAATAAGTAACAAAAAGTGGGAAACTGAAACCTCCTCTCTGCATTGCATGGTTGTGAAATGTAACTTTAAAACTGGTCTTTTCTTCCACACTCTATCATCAAAAGAAACCTTGTAGTTAATAAACAGCTAATAGATAATAAACAGGTAACACATTTTGATCTGGTTGCTTGAATATTTTAATTTTTTTTGCTAGAGTAATAGTGTGAAGAACTATCCATAACACCTGGAGTTCTTCTCTGAAAGTCTCTCCCTTTTTCTAATTTTCTAAATTTGTATTATATGTATATTTCATATATATATTCAGTATAATTGATGAAGAGCCAACACCCATTTGGAACAGAGTTAACTCATGTGGTCTGATTTGTTTCACAAGTTCAAGTGACAGCTCCACCGAAGAAGAAGAAGAGACTGTGACAATTAAGGATGAAGCAGAAAGCAGAATGTAAGATTCTTTACCATGACCCCAGTTCAAGTGATAGGATGTTGATTCTTTCTGGAATTAAAATAATTGCCCTAACAGTGATTCAAGTGAAAGCTTGTGTACTGAAATCTCTCCATTTCTGGTCTTTACAGCAAAAAAAGCCCAATAATGAAAGTGTTTGTCTGGCCCCAGGAGATCACTTTTTCTGTTGCATGGTAAAGGTGCCAAAGGTAGAAAACAGTTGTTGATCCTTGAGGCAGTGCAGCCCTTGCACCTGTACAGCTGCAGAGGAACAACTCAAAACTCAACTGCAGTAGCCCTGGGTGGCTGGGAAATGTGACTCTTTCTCCAGACCTGTTTGACTGACACAAGAACTGTCCTTTAAATGACTCACAGTCAGTCTTTGAAAGTGTTGTAGGGAGTTGACTCAGACAAACCTTTATTTTTTAGAAAAAATAAACCAAGCTAGAATAGATAGAAATTAAAAGAGGATGTTGAATACATTGTGTGGGCAGGGATGCTCCCAGTTCTCCTTAATTGGAGGGGGAAGGGGAAAGAGTGTGATGGATGGAATCCTAAACTGTAAATTCCTCAATAGGCACAGATGTCAGCCTTTTCCTGTTACTAAACTCAGGGCTTGATTCATACCCATAAGTTATGAGACATTTGTTTAATGTGAAGCAGAGATGTCAAACCTTAAGGATCCTCCTGCATTTATGCTGTGGATTCATTTCAAAGTCTGCTGTGTGTAAGTTCACATGGCAGCAGTGCAGAGGACCAGCAGGACACATGTATTGTTATGCCAGCCAATTATACTTTTTTTCTGATGGTCTGAAAGAAGAAATGACTTGACAAAGAGCAGAGCCTCAACAATATCATTTAGGACATCTAATCCAAACTCCAAAAGGCAGGGATGAGGTGATGCTTGGGGAACTCTCCCTGACACTGACTCAGATTCAGCAGTTGCATCAGTGTAAATCGAGTGATGGAGAGCAGAGCTCAGCTGATTGGATTTTGATTTGCTTTCATGTTGCTAAAGAACATACCCAACTGAAATGCCTGGCAAATATTGCTCAGTTCTGTTTGTAAATAGAGAAATCCTCTTGGTCTCAGCAGGGCAAGATTCTGATTTCATTCACAAGGGGTCAATGCCATTTTCACTCTTCCCTGGATGGAATTATTAAACATATTCTGTATATTCTGTAGTACAATATACCTACGATGCTGAGTGCTCATACACACCACCAACCTACAGCATTACTGTCCAACCCAAACCAATGGCTCCTCAGGCTGTGTACTCTTCAGGTACAACTAAAATAAGGTGTTTTATTTGCTCATAATCACCAGATGAGGTACAAATTGATTTTAGCAGGTGACTTGGGAACAGAACTGCAAAATCACCATATCTGCCCGCTAGGTCATGACCAGACTTTCCACAACAGAATATATCACAGTAATGTAATTGCTGACAGTTTAGCAGTCTTGTTAACTTGGAGAAGACATTGGTTAAGCCAAACACTCAAAAATTCTTACAATTACTAGAAAAAACTTTTCTTCTGTATGTATTTGAATCCCAACCCCTGTATCCAAAGGGGACAAAAATCTGTAGGCTCTGATTTCCTTTTCCAATGATATATTTGTTGAGGGCTCTTGTAGTAGGTGTGTGTTGTGCCTGAAATACAGAAGAGGTAAATAAATTGTCATTAAGATAAATTCTGTGTTCTGCCTCTGTGGTGTTTTGTGTCACCTGAGTGCTGTTGCTGCTACTACCAACAGTTATCATTCCTGTAGATGCCCAGCCCTTGTTTCATAGCTGTTACTCATATGAGAAGTTCCTCAGAGATTGAATTTATTCATATAATGCTTTGTCTTGCATTGAATGAGTTTTTTATTTCCTTTTATAGGAGGAATTGCTCAGGGAAAAGCCTGTTACTGCAACAACTCCGAGCAGCCCGTAAAGAGACCTCGGAGCTTCTTTGTAAAGCATCTGCTCCAACTGAGAAACTGGATCCAGAAAGTCTGGAAGACAGAGGTTCCTCTAACATAAATGAAACCCAATCTTGTAAAGTGAGGCAAGAGACAAATAAGGTGGTTCCCAGGAAACTAATGAGATTGGAACCAGAGAAGAAAAGTCCCCCTTTGTCAAGCTGTGGGGACAATGAAGCTGACATAGAAAAAGGAAACAAAATGGAAGCTGAGAAGGTTCAGAATTCAGGAAATGCTCCAGAGTGTCCTCTAATTACAACGGAATTGCCAAGGTATCCCACAGGAAAAGTCATCAGTGGTTTTGATTTTTGTGTAATTGTCCAAGATTAAAGAACATTACCTACCTGGTCTGTGAGCTGGAGCAAAAGGGTGTCTGGTTTTGTTACCTGAACAACAACAGTCCTGGCAGCTCCTGCTGCAAGGTTTAGAGGAAGCCTGAGTGGATCAGTGAAGTGGCCTGGGATTAGTTGTGCTATGGCACTTCTGACATTGTAAATTTAGCCTTTTTCTTTAGTTTTTATTCTGTAGAAGAGGAGGATAACAATATTGGTTTCCTTTATGAACAAGAGCACTGGGGTTTCATAAGCACAGCATCCTAGAAAATAGGTCTGGAAGGGTCAATCTCCCTTTAGCAATACAGAGTGAGGTAAAATCTAATCCTTTCCTGGCAGATCTTTATATAACTTGGTCTTGAAATCCTCAATGTTGAGGATTCCTTGACTCCCAGGTAGTACATTTTGTTACTTAATTATCTTTACAGTTGTAAAAGTTTTCCTTAAATTATCCTCTCTTCAATTTAAGCTTATTTTTTTGTGTTCCTGGAAGGAATGGGAAATGGTTTATTTCTGTTTCTCAATATCAAGCACCTTTTACAAACTGGAAGATGTACCAGCCTCCCCTTGTAACATTTTCTTCCAAACAAAGGAATTCTGGCACTTTGTCATCAAGGAAAATGCAAAACCTTGGAGGGACAAAGTACACCCATGAGGAATACCAAAGGAATACCTTGAAAAGCTTTAAAAAGTAGAAATGAGTGATATCAGTTGAGGAAATAGCAGAGTTATTTGGGCCTCTGCCTCCTTGGGCTTAGTTTAATGTTGTGTATTCTGCAGAAGGTCTAATTTTAAAGTGAAATCAGGTGGTGCACCTACCCAGCTGTTTGGGAGAGCTCCATTATACTGCCTTTTCAAAGGTTATATTCTGCCTGCTATTTTCAGACTGAAATGACTTTGACATATGAGCCCTGGAAAGAATTAGGATGTGCCTGCTCTGGAGACTGGGACTGTTTCAGAGTTAAACAGTTGCTGGCCCTGCCACTTAAACACCTCAGCTCCTGTGTACTTGCTTTAAATGGCAGATGGTTGGTTCCAGGGTTTTTTCCTCTATGGAATTCCTGACATTAAAGCTCATTGCTTCCATCAGGAGTATAAAACTCCATTTTGGCTACCTGTTAACCTGCCACAGAGATGGGAACCCACAGCTAGGCAAGGATCTGGGTTAGTTATTATCCAAGTAGTAGCTCAAAATGATTTTAACCGATTTCAGTTTTCTTTCTTGCTATTCTCATTATTTTTGGGGCACCTGGGGCTGGAAGAAGTCAGAAGAAATTGAACTCCATGGCAGAGGAAATCTTCCTGCAAATCAAAATGTAGAAAGATGGAAGGTCTTGGGTCAGGGAAACTTGTCACTGTCCTATCCTATGGCAGATAGGACAGGAATGGGGTTAGACTGAGAATTTTGCTGTGGAGATGGGGAGTGAAATGTCACAAACACATCTCTGCTTAAAGGAATTTTGATCTCCAAATAGATCATCACCACTTATCAGAGATTTGAGCTCTGCTGCTTTGCTTTGAGGTTGGGTGTTTTTCTCAGAGAGATGATTTCATCCAATGACAAGTTCTTGTGGCCCCCCACAACCACCTAAAAATCTTTCTAAATCTATTTTAGCCTTTCATGTCGTGTTTGACTCTCAAGTGTGTGGTATAAATACAAGAAAAAAAAAAATAAATGCAAACAGATGAACAAGTGGCTTTTTCTCCCAAGTGAAAAGCTAAAGCAAAGCAGAATCTCTATATTTTTCAGGACACAAGAAAGTGAAAGAGAGCTATCCCAAAAAGAAGAGCAGATGAAAGAGAGACAGAGGAGACTCAGATTCCAGGAGCAGCTGGAGGGATTGCAGCCTCAGCAGTCAGTGTCTGGGAAGCAGCCCATGGCAGAGAACACCCCTGTTCTGTTCCACATGGTCAGTGGCTGCCTGTGCCTTTCACAGTGGCTTCCTGGCTACGGGCAAGTGTGATCCTAGAGCAAAAAGTCATTTTCGTTGCATTATTTAAAATCTGTTTGTTATGGAGCACCATTACCTGATGAGATGAGCAGTTCCACAGCTCTTCTCTCACACTAACTGTATTTTTTCCACTTTCCTGTGCAGGGAGTGCTCCCCATGCAGCTGCCCACGAGTTTTAACCTGTCACAGTATGGCAGGAGCCCAGCTTGATGAAATCAGTGTGCTCAGTGTCATTTACTTCATGGGAACCAGGCTCTCCCACATGATTTTTCATAACTTTTTCTTAAAAAGTGAAACACTTTTACTGTCATACTCCTAAAGCAAAGCTTATGCTGAGTCCTGTCTGGTTGTCTGCCCCCAGCAGCTTTATAGGTCAATTTAGTGGGTAGGTTTTGAGGACTGTGAATTTAGTAATAGATTTTGCTCCTGATTAAGGGAGTATGAAATTATCCTGATTTTTCCCAAAGCCTAAAATAAGGCTTGGAGGACAGGGCTGGTTTTCCTCCTGAGAATGTTTGCTTATGTCTTCTTGGAATGAGATGGTCTTTAAGGTCCCTTCCAACCCAAGTCATTCCGTGATGCTGTGATATGCAGTCCTGCTTCATCCTTTCACTGAGTTCACTGAGCACAGGGCCAGCTGAGAAGGTCAGAGGAGATGAGTAACTCCAGAATTTATCTGTATTGATTTATTTGGGCTGATAGTGATAACAAAGCTCTTCTGTCAGTACAAAAATTGAAAGACCTTACAACCCTAAACTGGGGGCTGGACCGTTCAGGTTTGCTTTCTAACTTGATTACTGTGTTTCTGGAGATCTGAAAGCTCATTTTATTTAGCACTGGATTAATCACTGATGAGAAATAAAGGACTAACAAACTGCCAGCTGACTTTCCCTCCACCAGCCTGCTTTGACAAGGTCAGGGCACTGCCCAGAGCTCTGTTTTGGGGGTGTAAGATCCTTCAGCCTCTTGCTGCTGTCAGGTACCACCCAGTTCCAGTTAGCCCTCATTAAGATGCAGACACTTACTTGCTCATCAGGAATCTACTTGAGCCTTGCTATCTCATTCCTGACAATGCACCAAGCAATGCGGAATTATTCTCTATCGTGGTCATTTCCCATATTTGCTGTGCTGAAGCCAATAAAATGAAGATAACAGCTTGGTAATGGGGTTTCTCTGGAGTGCAGCTCAGGGTGTGTCTCTGCTGTAGCTGAATGTCAGTGTGAATATGCCCCTGATAGATTTGGTGATGCTCCTGCCAGCCAGTCATGGCAGTAGGACGTGGGCATTGCTGCCTGGGGTTTACAGCCTTCTGCTGCCCATGGAAACTGCTCTCAGCACCTAAAGGGAGAGAGAGGGACTTCTATACAGGCAGAGAGTGACAGGACAAGATGCAGTGGTTTTAAACTGCCAGAGGGCAGGGTTAGATGGGATATTGGGAAGAAATTCCCCCCTGTGAGGGTGGTGAGGCCCTGGCACAGGTTGCCCAGAGAAGCTGTGGCTGCCCCCTGGATCCCTGGAAGTGTCCAAGGCCAGGTTGGATGGGGCTTGGAGCAACCTGGGCTAGTGGAAGGTGTCCCTGCCCGTGGCAGGGGGTGGGACGAGACTTCTAAGGTCCCTTCCAACCCAGACCACTCCATGATTCTAAACTAACTGCCAGCCTGCCTGGGGGAAGCCTGCCTGACCTCCCGAGGCACTGCCGGGCAAAACAAGCCAGCACAACCTGGAATAACTCTGTTCTGTGGGCAACTTTGCTCTTAGTTCTTCTTTAGGAATATTCATTAGTAAAATTAAGAATGAAAAATGTGTCAACATCATATATCAAATGTAACAGTCCTTTATAAGATAACTTGAAATCCCCCTTGATAGCAGCTTTTTTTTTTTATTAGAACAGGGTTTTCTTTTCTTTCTTTTTTTCTGAACATAGAAAAACTTGAATGTTTTGACATTTAAAACTAAAGAAGCTATAATTTGGCAGCTATGTCTCAGTGAAAATATCTAATATCTATATATAAACATGTATATTCAAAGAACAAGCCCCAGTATTTGACAGAGTAGCACACTTTCAAATTTGTTTTGTAAGTCCTTTGTTTTGGCAGTGATAGATGTTCAGATCTGGAACACTTGTCATAGTTTCCAGAATTCCTCTGACCATTTATAATGTACATAAATTATTGAATTGAATAATAATCAGAGAGAAAGTTTAGAAACTCTGCAATTACTGTAGCTGAGATGCTGAAAAAGACTGGCAAAGGAAATTTTAAAAGCTGCATTAGGGTTACATTAGAGTTCTTGTCTAAAATATAAAAGCAGTGAAACTCAGATTTAATGTGCTTTGGTTTTTTTCTTAACCTAGTTCAGTCAGACTCTGTCCTCAGCTTCACTTTGAGAGTCAGGGTTGGGGATAACACTTTCCAAACAGTGCAGGTATCTTGGGAGACTGAGAACTAACTTCCAGGACCACTTCAGCTTCTGAGGAGGGGGCTGAGATCCAGTGTATTTTCAGGTTATGCAGGTACCAACTTTCCTGGGAAATCATTGGGTTCATTCTAAGAATTCTGCCTGTCACATCTGTGTCTTTAGGTGTCAATACTTTTGCCATCTGTCCCACCTCTTTGTTTTAAAAATAACATGTGGAAGAACCTGTATTTTTTAATGGTTTAGATTTTTTCTGCTCCCCTTCACCAGGTAAACTTTCAGTGAAATTTAAGACTGGCATGAGTTGATCTCTTCTGAAACTGGGCCCCTTGACCACATTTGAATCTTTGGACCTATTTCAGTTCCCACATTTGGATCTTTGGATCTGATTCAGAACTGATGTGAGCATCTAGAGCCCTGTGAAAGCCAGCAGAGTGGTGATGTGATCCTTGTTGTAAGGTCAGGATGAATTAATAGTTTAGAGTAACAGGCCCAGGGTTTGTTTCAGTGTTTGAGCAGAGTGTTATTGATGAGGGAGGGAGAAGGAAAGCTGCACAGTACGTAAACCAGTTAAATAGGGATGTAAAATGAAATGGGTTTGATCTGTCACTTCATTCATCTTGCTTATTATGATGGAGTAACTTTGTACTGATGTTGTTTTCCATATTACATTCCCATTAGGTGGGATCCAGATAATAGCTTTTACTTTTGCCAGGCTCGTAACTGAGATTTATGTCTGGGAGCAGCACAAGCGGGTTACTCTAGGAATTGTAGAATCCCAGAATAGTTTGGGATGGAAGGGACCTTAAAGCTCACCTTGTTCCACCCCCTTCCATGGGCAGGGACACCTTCCAC